TATATGGAAGGACATTTTCTTTGTTGGTTACCAGGGGTGGGATGGGAGGGGAGGGAACAACAACAACAAAAAAGCCTGAACCCTGAGGAAAAAAAAAAAGATTCCATGGATTAAAAGATGGTACTAATAAGTCATCAATAAGAACATGGCAGAGTTCATACTCCTTCCATTCCTTGTACGTGCTCAGCCCATATCACATTGCAGAAAATGACAATCTAAAAGTCAAATTTTTCAATAAGACAGTCTTACTACTCTAAGACTTACAACAATAAAAACTTATTATATACCTGATCCAAAATGCATATTTTGCCCTTGTATATTTAATTTATTTAAAATAATTCAAATAATGTATTGGCATGTGAATGAATAGATAGGTAAAATCTAGAAATTATGCTTTACCTTAGAAACTAAGTAAACCTAAGACTAATTACTAAGGGACTTAGATATATAGGTCAAGCTTTGTGAAAGATATAGACAGGGTGGCATAGTGCCTAAGGCACTTGGCTGCTAAGCAGAAGGCTGGCAGTTCAAACCCCCCAGCCACTCCTCATAAGGAGATTGGGCAGTCTACTAGCCATAGTGATACTGCCTCAGGTCTGACTCAACAGCTGTGAGTTTAGGTTGTTTTTTTTTTTTTTTTTTGTATAATAATTCTATGTACCATGAAGGTGTTTAAGTGAAAATTTGGAATGTCAAAAAACAATGTATATTATAAAATAGCAAACCATACAAGTTATATAAGGTAGAAAGTGAGAACATTTCCAGTCCTGTTCCCTGCTAACAGGTATAACCTTCTAGGTTTCCCTCCCTGTAACTTTCCCCCCCTTCCCTTCCTTTCCTTCCTTTTTCCTTTCTTCCGTCTCTCTCCCTCTTCCCCTGCCTTCTTTCCTTTCTTCTTGCTTCCCTCCCTCCCTCTCTCTCTTTTTTCCTTCCTTCCTTCCTTGTGTCCCTTCTTCCCTCCCTCCTTCACATTCTTTGTTTCCTTTCTTTAGATTATACCTGGAAAAAATCCTGACATTTTAATCACCCGGCAATAAAACAAATTGAAAAAAAAATTAGCAAAATAATGGGATACAACTATCCATTTCCACATTCTGAAATAGCAGTGCACCATTCATCAGCATTTACTATCACACTTTATTGCATTTCGCTGCCTCTGAAAAGACAATTTATCATTGCTGAGAAAAATTGCAAATAATTGAGACCCATTACATAGTAATGTTAAGACTGATGTTAAATGGAGAGCAGTATAAAAAAAATCATAAAGATACAATTTCTCTCTCTGCGTTACTCTTGGGACCTCCTGTCAGGATCACTTTACCCTATAAAGTGATGACAAGCAGAGTTAATGGCTTATATTAGTGGCTAAGGCACTTGACTGCTAACCAGAAGGCTGGCGGTTCAAACCCACCAGCCACTCCTCGGAAGGAAGATGGGGCAATCTACTTCCGTAGTGATATGCCTCAGAAACCCAAGGAGGGGTCGCTATGAGTTGGGTCCGACTCGACGGCACATAACAACAACAACAACAACAACATTATTAAAGAGAAGAGAGAAAGTACTGATCACTTTCTGTGCTTGTAAGTTTTTCTAGTTAAATAATGGGTGATAAAATGGACTAGTTACTTATCTGGGAGCTCTTGTAGCATAGTGCCTAAGGCACTTGACTGTTAACTAGAAGGCTGGCAGTTCAAACCCACCCACTCCTCCTTGGGCAATCTACTTCCATAGTGATACCACTTCGGAAACCCAAGGAGGGGTCACTATGAGTCAGGTCTGACTGGAGGGCACATAACAACAAGAGTTGCTTATCTAAGAGTAATGAGATTTCTGAAAATGTAGATGCAATTTTCTTATAAATTAAAGCATTTTGCATAGATTCTGAGCATCCAATCCGACAAGAGCCTCTCAGGAATGCAGTCTTAACACAACCTTGAAAACAGGTGTTATCCTACTCCACCAAAGCCTAGTCCAAATAGACTAACACTCAGAAGCTAAATGTCATTGTTTTGTTTTCATGTGATATTTTTCTGTTGAAATAGTCTGAATGTATTTTCTGCAAGATGATATATACTTCTATTTTGTATTTTTAAATTTTTATTAGAAGACTTTCTCTCTCTATGTATCTTTGCATTTTCTTGAACATGGGAACCAGAGAAGGGAAATATAACTGTTAGGTAAATAGTGTAATGACTTTTGCTGTGTGCTGTCAAGTCAATTCCAACTCATGGCCCTTTAGCGCAGAGCAGAACTGCTCCACAGGGTTTCCAAGACTGTACTCTTTCTGGAAGCAGACTGTCAAATCTCTCTCCCATGGAGCAGCTGGTGGGTTCAAACCACTGATATTTTGGTCAGCAGTCAAGCACTTAATCACTGTGCCACTAGGGTTCTAATGAATGTAAGACATGCTAATGCATTTTATCGGATACATTTTTAGAGACTGGATATCAGAAGACTATTTGGAAAGCTTCCTTTTGAATAAGAGGAGGACTTTTTTTTTTTCTTTATCAAGTCTTAGAGGGAGAGCAGGAATTAAACAAAATTTCAAACAGTCCTTTGAATCAACTATTTACCATATCCACAGATCAATCTAGAAATCACACTTAACTGACATAACTTGTAAAATGGTTACATTTTAAAACATAAATTCCTTATCTATATAATACTGTATGGAAGGTTTTTATTAAAATGTTTCATCATACACATCTTTAGAATAACCAGTAAGATATCTAAATATGCAACAAATACCTAGAGTACACCAATTTCATAAAATTATGAAATGTATTGTTGCTCTTGCAACTTTATCTTCCACTGCATGTATTTAGGTTCTTAGCAATGCCTTTGGGTACTATATGAGAGACATCGATCTCCCCAGTTGATTATGTCCTTATTTTCTCTGGATTTGCTATTAAGAAACTTCTTAAAAGCATTTATGTGTTGTAGCAGGGTATAGTCAATTGTCTGAATTTGTGTCTTACATTGCGTGGAATTTGACACTTACATTGACACTTATCTTGAAAATTTCATTTAAAGTCTGTTCTCTCAACCTTAAATTGTAAGCATTCTCTGTCACTGCATTTGTGTATTTGCTATATTTATAAATGTATGATTATATGTGTGTATGACTCCCTACTCATCTCTATGCCTATATTTCTAATTTAGCATTAACCAGAGTACAAAGCAGAGAAGCAAAGGACATTTTACAAGAGGCAGAATTGAGAGAAACAGATTTAATGCATAGCACCATTTGTTTTTGATCATATATCAGGCACAAATAAAAATTACCATACCAACAGGGGGTATTTCATATATAGACCTATTTATTTGGTCTATAAGAAATTAATAATAATTAATAATCTGATTTGCTGCTATTCCCCTTGCTCTAATGATTAGTTGGGAGACTATTTAGAAAACTAACTCTCCTGCAAAATAAATACAAACAAACTCATTGCCTTGGAGTAGATTCTGACTCATAGTGACCTCCAATTTGTTTCTGAGGCAGTAATTCTTAACAGAAGTAGATTGCCCCATCTTTCTCTCTCAGAGCAGCTGGTTTGAACCATGAAGCTGCTGGTTAGCAGTCAACTGCCTTAGGCATTCCACCACCAGAGCTGCTTATTTAGAACATGAAGTAGCTTCAATCCTAGGTAAAATTCCTCTCTGTCAGGGATGTGACACAGTGAGAGGCAGTAAGCTACCAGAAAGTCCAAGGTGAGCACTGACCAGCATTCCTTGGGAATAAAGCAGAACTCGCTTACTGCACTAACCAGCCTCAGAGGCAATAACAGGGAGACATCCTACATCATTTGTTGTTGTTGTTGTTATGTGCCTTCGAGTCAGACCCAACTCATAGTGACCCCTCCTTGGGTTTCCAAGGCAGTATCACTACAGAAGTAGATTGCCCAACCTTCCTTCTGAGGAGTAGCTGGTGGAT